AAAAGAAAATTCCCAAAATGGATAACATGGAAAAGATTAAAAATAGGCTTCTAAGGATTCACGATAAAATACAAGATCGCATGGAAGATTTGCAAGACCAAGTGCAGAATAAATATGAAAATTCTAAGATATCAAAGTTCATATCACATTTGTCCGAAGATAGAAGTTCTTTGGAAAGCGAATCTAATGACGATAAAACAGTCGATGGTGATAATGTTTCCACAGATTCGGGAAAGTATACAGCTAATAATAAATCTTCCTTCACCTGTAGCATACCATCGGTGGTCATAGACGAACCTCCAGATGAAGCAGTTAAGGATGTTTGTGAGAATTTTATCAATTTTGAAAGGAACGGGGTACTTTATAAAAAGAGAAGTTTGTCGACTTCTAATTTGAATAAGGACGATGTATTTTGTGAAATGAGTTCTAGTGAGTCCTGCGTGTCATGTCTGTCGTCGAGTGATGAGAGGTTTGTTATTTTACTTTTTAATAAAAAAGTGGGCTAAAGTTAAACTTTGTATAAATCTTGTAAACACTGCCTCTGTCTTCTTATTAGAAAAGAAAATTGTTATTTAAATACCAGGCTTAATTAAGTCAACGTTTTGTACCAGTGGAGTTTAGATTTTTGTAGATACTTGTTATGTGAGCATCCTTATTTTTTTCTTATTTAATAAGTTATCACAGAAAAAGCATTTCTGTCACCATTGTTTTCTTTTGTTGCTTAAGAAATAATCAATGAAACATACCACTTATGAAAAATGTATTAATAATAATCCTAAAAAAAAAACGTATGCGCTGTAACTTGTAGATATATTAAGCATTCTAAATATGGTATTTTTGAAAGCTACTAACATAGTTATTAAAAAAATAACAAACCTGGTATTCAAGTTATTCCTTTGTTTATAATCATAGTCAATTCTTCACTAATTATAGACTTCAAGAACCTAGACCAAGAGCTGGCAGTCTACCACCAGGGGCCCATTTGGAGAACTCAACCCTCAACACCTGCAACGAATTCATTGAGAAGATCGGAAACAGATTCCCAGGACTTAAAAGCAAAGGCGATAAGATACAAAGGGTACTATTTCAAAGATGATTAATCCTTTTGGTGATGGTAATTAACAATGCTTGTTAACAACTTTGGATTTTGTACCAATAATAAATCAATAAATAAAAAATATTAAAACATTTGTACGTTATAACCAGTGTTGCCAATGCAATTGACGTGTTCTACGGCTATTTGATTGAACAATTAGACAATATACACGGCCTAAAGTTGTAATCCTAACACCGTAGCATTATTTTCTACGGCTTTTAGCAAATAATGATTTTGTCACATTGACGCATTTGTCTTCTCAACACAATTTTACTGCACAAGATCTTCATCGATCACATAAGTTACCGAATAAAATTATTAATTGTAATGTCCTTATGAAATGAAAATAATTTTATTTCATTCAATTGGACTTATTCAAAGCTCTTCTTAAGCGCCCTTTATTATTATTATGGAAATCATGTTATCGTGCGTGCATTAGAACTAATATTACGATTTTGATTTACTCTTCTAAGCAACACTGATAATAGACTTTATGTAAACTATAATAGGTGTTCATTGTTTTAACATCATGGCTTTAACATAACGGTCAAGGTTGACTAGATAAATATCAATAATACATATTTATTATTGATATTTTCAAAAGATTCAAATCAAGTGAACAAAACGCAATAACAGATTCTTCATTATGTGATTAAAACATTACAACAACATTAACCAAGTAATTGCTTAATAAATTATGTTTAACTAATGGTAACATAATAACATGTAGTTCTATAAGAAAACTTGGAGCACCTAACCTTTGATGGGCTATTTGTGTGTTATGGTACATAGTATTTTATGATTGTAACTACAGTGCAGTTACAATGACTAGCGTAAATTTTTGATTTCGACGCGAACGAAGGTTGTATTGAAGATCGAAAAAATCAATAGATAAATCAAATACCTACTATGCTTTATTATTTATATTATATATTATAAGATAGGTTAAACAATGTAATGCAATGATAGCTTAGCGTCATGGTTTGGTTTAGTAACAATTTACTTATGATTGCTCTTTCAGGAAACCCGCAGAAATAGAATATAGCTTCATAAATTAAATTTCAAATAAGAGGACAACATATTTTTCCAGCCAATTAATGTTCCAACTGCTGGGGCACAGTCTTTCTCCATACTAATCTAATCCTCAATCGTCATAATAATCAATCATCATAGTCATATATCATCAAGAAGCCTAGGCCAAACTTTGACCCTCGGGTCATCTTCGAACCTCGTATTGTTCGTAGAATTGGCGGAGCCCACGACCATCAAACAAAAATCAACTACCCATGAATCCATCGTCCAAAATAGTATCATTTTGGCATTTTATAATAGATATATTTTTATATATTATTATAGATAGATAGTATTGCTTTAATAAAACCCATATTGAAGGAATACCTACTTACTAAATGCTTTTATTTAAATAAGGAAACAGTCATAAGTTCTCAAACTTGACCCGCCCGCCACAGTTTTCAATAGTAAATAGGGCTAGGCCACAGAGCCGGATTGGAGGCAGTACAGGTGGGCATGTGACCTCCACGACAGAGATAAAAAATAACTAAATTTCGACGGGTCGCCACCCTCCTTGTGTCGTGCTCCTCATTGCTGAGGGTCGTGACCTCCACGAATTATTTTGTGGACGATCACTTTCCATTTGTTGCGGTCTTCGGCAGTGTGGAGTGCAACGCGGACTCCAGTTTTGGTATTGTCGCGGATCTGGTCTGTCCAGCGCATGGGGCTTCTTCCTCTCGGTCGCCTTCCCTGTACTTTTCCTGTCACCAGGAGCACTTCCAGGGTATCGTTTTTCTTCCTTGCTATGTGACCGAAGAATTCGAGGATCCTACGAATACTACAGAATTTGTACAGCCTATAGGTGACTCCCACTTCTTTAAGAATTGACGCATTTGTGCGGTAGGCTGTCCACGGAACTCGTAACATTCTCCTCCAGCACCACATCTCAAATGCGTGAATACGAAAACTGTCTGCCTTCTTGAGGGTCCATGTTTCCGCACCGTAGGTGAATATGGAGAACACCAGAGTTCTCACCAGGCCAACCTTGACGGGTCACCAATCAGGCTGCAAATCATGAGTGGCTCGGGATTCCAGATTTTAAATTAGAGCCCCCCACTCCCCATAAACCATCACGCAGGCACAGTACGGGTTAGTATGAGCATGGATCAATCATCCCTGCTAATGTTCTAATGACTACAGCAGACCCAGCAGTTTAAAATCCTCCATTATTCGAGGAAAAACCTCTATTTTGAATATTTTCGTCACTCACCCGTTGATTAGCCATTTTCAAAATTGCATCGCTATTCAAATTAGCTGCCCACTACGTCATTGAGCTACTCAAATCAACTACAATAACAGAGCAACTAAGTATCACTGGGCCCAAAACTTATCTCTTACCAAGGAAGCATCAACATCACTAAGCCGTTTGGAACCAGCTCGCGCTTAGGTTTTAAACTTTTTTGTGCCGCGCACTCTTAGAAAAAAAGTTGCACTTATATCTAAATCTAAGAACTTGTTTCCAAGGTTATCCTAGTTTAAGAAATGACCACATACTTTTTTGTAAGAGTATCAAAAATAAGTTCAGTAAAGATTGATTTTGACTGACCCAATACAAGGAAAATATTTTTGAAGCAAAGGTAATGTCTTGGTCTTCGCCATTGGAACTAATATTCTGTTTGATTATGTTAAATTATATAAACCTTTGTTGTTTTATGAGTTAAATTAATACATCAAGTGGTAACTTTACGTGTAGGAGAGATACCTTAATATTTTGTTTTACCCATTTATCGATGTAACTACATATCTAACCCTGCCAAAGTTATAGGTAAGTTCTTGAACTAAGAGTCTCTCAGACGAACGTCCCTAACCGATTAAGTTCTTAGTCTTGGCGAATTTTCTGATTTGGACTGGAACGCCTAAATTACTAAAGGAAGTAACCTCCATCCACCTTACATATTACAGACTATCGTAACCTTAGATTAAAACATTTGTTTTAATCTAAGATCGTAACGAGTTAACGTGCTGAGGGACGATAGATGCTAGACGAAAGCTTGACTAACAGTTTTTTGACACACATCATTTGGGCCCCACAACCTCGCGGACATAGCAAAACTATAAGGGTAACTTGTTAACTCGTAATCTCAAATATTAACATCCAGAATTTTTTGAGTAAGTAAGGGTGCCCAAAATAATTAATTTTTAACTAATATTCTGATAAATGACAGCTGTCTTAGTTCTGAATCTCTGAACTAAGCTTCGGACTGACAGACGAACGGACATAGCAAAACTGTAAAAGTACCTTGGAAACTTCGAAATGCTAAAGCCTATCCCCCATAGGCGCATTATTATCGAATAATCGGATGCGTTATTGTGAAATCAATACTTGTTGATAACGGCCCCAGTATTATCAAAAGATCGGTAGGTAGGGCCTTAGGTCTTTCTATGGTATTAGCGCAAAACAGCAAATACTGGATGAAGAATTGGCAACAGAAAAAAATGTATTATAAATAAATAATATTTGTGTTTTTTATCCCACATGTGGGGCCGGTCTTTATATTCTTTTATCACTCGAGCGAGACCAAAGTTTATTCTCATTATGATTTGCCGTCATTTTGATCGAAATACGTGCGCTCCGTGTGACAGTTACCAACCAACTGATAGAGAAATTGCCCCGATCGCGCTACACATGCGGCAACGTGCAGGGCGGCAGGGACAGTCTAGGAACCAAGGGTGGTCTCGCGCCCCTGGCGCAGGGCCAATTTAGAACATTGTCCCTGCTTGCTTAGGCATTTAAGGGTCATCCTCACTCTTACACCCTAGATTGCCCCTGCGGCAGAGATGTCAGTAGCCCGCTTAACAATACAAATTAAACAAGCTCGTATATTTTTTTCAGTATTTGATGAAGAACACCCGCCTCAGCGATGTGAACAAGCGCCTGAAGGCGCAGATCTGGAGTTCGGTGGTGACCATCGTGCTGGTGGAAGCCAAGAACCTGCCGCCCATGGACTTGGACACCAGGTCCAGCGACCCTTACTGTAAGTTTAGGTGAGTCAGCCGAATAAAGATAAAGTTCATAAAAATTTTGTCTGTGACGTTGGTTTATGGACGGTTCACTGTATTCTTCAGGGCAGTTTTGTGGGGATTTCTGTTCTGGTTCGTTTGTTTAAGCCCAAGCACTCCTCTGTATCTCTATGGGGAGTCGAGTAAGATTCCGCGGGAGTGAGGTACTCTTAGGGCTGGGGTTGAAGGTGAGGGAGGTCAGGGTAGTCAGGAGGGGTCAAAGGAATGATAACCTAAACCGTCAACCAAATTTTACTTTAAGTTGCGTTCAGAAACTCGATTTAAAACTTTCGTTTACATAAAGGATGCATGTTCGTATGTGACCTATAATTTTGCATGATTATTCATAACTACTCCGCCTGTAATGCAGAGATGAGCGGAATTGAAGAGCTAGATTCTGATTAATGTTTTTCTCACACAGTCTTAATAAATAAATATTATTAAAAATTGGTGTTTTGTAATCGGTTGGTTAACGTTAGCCATCTTTACTCTCCCGATCAACCTGTTGACGCAAGCGTGCATATTCTATCATATTTGATAAATTCTTGTTATTTCCTTGTTTTATTTCTTGAGTTTGTTGTTATTTTTTTCTGTTAAGTTTAAAGTTGTTTATAAATTATAGGTAACATAAATTATACGTTATCATTGACAAGTACTCACTTTCTGACACTTTAAAGTTTAAGAACCCCAGATTCTTTGTTTACATTTTGTCTCACTCCAACGTCAAAAGACTATAGGTATACAAATCCTGAATGAACGTTGGAAAACTTTGAATAAACAACATGCCCTATTTTTAGATCCAACTAACTGATACAAAAAATATGTTACCTATAATCTAGTTCTAGTTGTTGCGCACACCCAAGGTTCCTCATTGTTTCCGTCTATTGTATTGTGACTCACGTAATCCATACTCATATCATAAATGTGAAAGTGTGTCTGCCTAGCCTGTCTGTCTCCATGTTACCTCTACACACTTAAACCGCTGAACCTATTTTGATGAAATTGGGTAACAAAATTGACAGGTCGAGATAACATTGCATTAACATCACTCCTATCACCACATCCTAACAATGCCATTACCTAACATTTAGCATTGGTTGGGTCTAAGATATTCCCCGGAAACTATAGTGACTAATTCGTACAATTGTACGAAATCGTGTCGTCACGCGTTATTTCAAATCGATAGATTATTAAAATTAATAATTGCGATGTGTCAATATAATTTCAGGCAATTTTTTTCAGACCCAACCAATGCTAATTCTTAGGTAATGGTATTGTTAGGGAGTGTTATTGATGGGAGTGACGTCAAAGTACTTTTATCTCGATCTGTCATACCTTTGTTAGTTTTGTCGACCCTGAAATGGTTATATGGTGTGATTTTGTCATGCAAGTATTGTAGCACTTGTATGATGTTATTTTTATATATTTTAGTTAACTAGAACTTGATTTAACTAAAAAGTGACGTCACGAGCCCCACTCCCAAACTTTGACTCGCTTAATCGTTGTAATTTTTTGGTTAATTGACCAAAGAAAAACAAGTTTCCAATATTTTTTTGTTAATCTTATCTAGTCCTTCAGGACTAAATACAATTTTCTTTCCTTGACCCTGTCATCATTCCTATGGTTAGTTCAGTACCCTTAGCCTGAACCAATATCGAATACGAATAGTTTGCGAGTCCGAAATGTCATTGTCAAATTTGTACTGATTTTTAGTTCTCGTTACGTCCGTTGTGGCACTGCGTGTTTCATACAAAATTTGACAATGACATTTCAGACTCGCAAACTATTCGAATTCGATAATGGTTCGTGCTAAGGGTATGGTTTCCGGGTTGGAACAACAGAGTTTCTACAAGAGTTTCTTTTAATAAAAATAATGTCATATTCACGAGAGTTTGTTGAGTTGCACTAGCTTCGGTCCCAAATGCTGCCTCAAAATAATTTATTAATTCCATGTCCCCATCAGGACCAGTGGTCCCGGTCCCAAATTACTACCGACTCTGATGCGAATAAAGTGTTATCACTTTTGATGTGTTCCGATACAATTTTTTTTTAAATATCTTTCAATAACTTTCGAATAATCTTCTCTTATTGTTTGTTGATGAAATAATAGATACTTACATTAAATAACATACACAACAACAACATAAACTTAAAAACTACCAAATGTCTAAAATTTACAATCCAAACCTTAACCTACTTAATAATAATGATGTTAAAAAACAAATTGGAAGGTATCGTGAAAAAAGTTGAATGACTAGAGCGAGGGTCCTACTCATACATTTATCAGAATACCTAGATGATTGAAAAACTATTTGCTCGTTTCTATTGCAGGTTAGGCAACGAGAAATACAAGAGCAAAGTGGTATGGAAATCTCTGCATCCTTCGTGGCTGGAGCAGTTCGATTTACACCTGTACGATGACCAGGAGCAGGTCTTGGAGGTCACGGTGTGGGACAAGGACAAACAGACGAAGGACGATTATATAGGACGGTACGTTTTTGTTAGTTAAGAATATTTCTGCCGTGCTATCGATTACAGCAGTATGTATTATTTACATAGTTTCGAGAAAATTGCGTTCAAAGTTTTCGTTACATTCTTACTTTTCCTGACTTTTTTTATTAAGTTAACTAAGGAATGGTATTAATTTGACATTGTGGGTTACCTACAATGCGAAGAGATGGCGCTGCCTTGCAGCTTAAGAAAGGTTAGAAAGAATTCGACACGGCTATTAGGGCCGCGGTAGCATAATGATGCATTCGGCCAGATAGTGAAGGGTGCGGGTTCGAGTCCCGTCTCCTGCCTGGTCCGCGTGAATTTTTTTCTAGTTATATTTTCTTTAGATTTGAACATCGAGCAGTGGTGTCAATTCTGACACGATTCTCTAAACCTAAACTTAAATTTGACAACAGTGTATCCTTGTCATTCTCTATACGGAATGAAAAGGAGAGATTGATGTTAAATTTAGTTTTAAGTTTAGAGAATCACGCCAGAATCGACACCACTATCATGCTTAAAAAATAAAAATTATAACTAAGGAATGGTTGTTGAATTATATTACTTTTTCATTGTAAAATAGTTTAACTTGTATTTATAACACATTCATCTTAAATAGCAGAAACCTAAATTATTCATAGACTCGCCCGTATTCTTATCGAAATTTAAAGTTCCCGTTGAGCTAAAAATATAGCGTTTAGATCATATTGCAGAGCTAGAACAAACTTGCAATTTATTGCAGTGCTATAGTAGTGTGGAGCTCAAGAATGTATACATATTTGCCCGTGCGCTCACACTTGCGATAGTTTCATTCAAAACGATTTACATGAAACTTTTGTAGTTGTATGCCCCTGTAATTTTAGTGCAATGCGATAGATGCAGAGGAATCGTTGTCTATACGAATCTATCGCAGCGCACACTTTGAACGATAGTTGCACGCAATAATTATTATTGAAAAGGAGGAAGGCCACTGCATCAACGAAATTAACATCTAAAGTGTTGTGCAATAGTTGCACGACGACGCGATAATTGCAGAGCGCGATTACCTAGTTGCAAATATGTTCTAGCTCTAATGCTTTTTCCGCACCTGCGTGCATCGAGCTCCTATTTATTCATTAGTACAGAACTTTGGAGAATGCGAACGCCAATCTTAGCGCAATTTAGTACTAAAGCCACCCGAAGCTTCGCCACACAGATGTGGGATAAGCATAACGAGCAAAGGTTCGCTCTAGTAGGTAAGGCACATGGCCTAACCTACTAGAGCGAGCGCACGCCATGACCCACCACGCGGGCCCAGTGCGGATTGATAGTTGCTAACGACTGCTGATGCAGTCGGGACCAACGACTTAACGTCCCTTTTATTTATTATTGGTATTGAAGCACATGGAAATAGGCGGTTAACTCAGATATAAGTCGCGGCACGAACTCTAGCGCTGAACTAAACGCGGAGGAGATAGCTGCGCTTGGGTACGACTGGAGAGACAATCGGTGCAACGCATGCCCGCCCGCGCCTCAACACCTCTGTTTCCCCATGACATCTTAATTTTTACTTCTGCGCAATAACGGCAAGCAATAGAGTATGCGTCACGCATTTCCCCAACAATAAAAAGGGTCATGATCCAACCTCCATATTCCATCCATAGAGAAGGCTTGTGCCCCAGCAATGAGGACATAAATAGGCTGATGATGATGTTGTTCCTTCTTGATGTTTAATACTCCACCAGATTTGCTAATAAATTAATGTTCATACATAGACGACACGATTCATAAAATATTGCCATATTTCCTGACATATAATACTAATTTAAGAAATTACTTCACCAGGTGTACAATAGACTTATCGAAATTGGAAAGGGAGAAAACGCACAACATATGGCAAGATCTCGAGGATGGCAACGGACAAATATTCCTCTTGCTGACTATCAGTGGGACTACGCAATCGGAGACTATTACAGACCTGGGTAGTTACAGGGAGAACCCGAGGGATAGGGAGATTGTGGAGAGGCGATATGTACGTAGGCAAACTTCTTGGGCATCGACCATAAACAAGAAATCCTGCGCAGTGGCAATATTACACACAAAAACGTCTACTGCGCAGGTTTATTTCTTTGTGGTTTTGCTCAAGAAGTTTGCGGCTAGCATACTATACCAGTGGTTTTGAAATCAAATCAAATCATCTTAATTGCAAATATAGGTTACAAAGTTGTTATCCAGATACCTTTAGTACAGTACAGCCATATCATCCATTATTTCTTACATAGTTTATTCAAAATGTCAATGTACATATGGTAAATTTAAGATTGTACGTATTTCATGCATGCCAATTTTTTTAGTCTATAAGCATTAGTCTTCCAAAAATTCACGGACAGTGTAGGAACATTTAACTACAAAAAAAATTGTTGCCGTTATGTCCAGGCCTGGTACCATCTCAACGAGAACGCCAGCGGCGTGGGGTGGCTGTGTGTCAAAGTGTTCGGTGCCAAAGGCTTGGCGGCTGCCGACTTGGGAGGCAAATCCGACCCATTCTGCGTACTTGAATTGGGAAACGCGAGGTTACAAACGCACACTGAGTACAAAACGCTAACCCCAAACTGGATGAAGATATTTACGTTGTAAGTATCATTGCTTTTATTTGTTTTTATAAAGTTGTAGGCAAAATGTACTCTTTGCTCTATGGGCCTGTGCTGCGTTAAGCGAGAGTACAAAGCTCCGCGTGTTTATTTCATGTTTCTTCATGTCGTAGCGCCTGTTCTATGAAATGACATGAAAACTGCACGCGGAGCACGAAGGCCCTATGATGTTAAGTAGGTACTTCAGAAAACTTAAAAAAAATCCCTAGCTAGATTTTAAAATTCTAAAGGAATAATATGGAATTATAATAATGCAAATAAATTGATATCTTGCTTAACTACTCCGTGATCAAGACGCTTGCAACTGTGCCGAAATTTTGGAGGGTCATAAAAACAAGGGACATGGAAACAATCTCGTTAATCTATAATGTTAGTGATCATGAAAATTTAAAACAATATGTCTTGCTTAAAATGCAAACAGGTATATAAACCGTATAGATTTCAAACTCTATCGCCGTTGCCGTTTAGTATTCCCTTGTCATAAAAAATCCCATAAAATAGGGTGAATAGTGAAAGAGAAGTAGAATAATGGAATTGTTTTTCATAATATTTTTTTATAGTTTTATAGTGTATTTTTCTTGAAAAATATTGGGAAATTTTACTGATAAAAAAATAACTCTTAGTAGACGAAAGTATCATCGTCTAATCAATGCTTTTGTAATGGCGAACTGTTTGAAATGCAAAGCTAACTATAGGTAGTTTATTCTTATTTGGCATTATGAAATCGGAAAAAATTTCAGTGTTTTTTTTTTATTTACAGCACAGTAAAAGATATAAGTTCAATGTTAGAATTAACCGTCTACGATGAAGATCATGACCATAAAGTAGAGTTTCTAGGTAAACTTGCTGTCCCACTGTTAAGCATTAGAAACGGTGAAAAACGCTGGTACGCACTAAAAGACAAGAAGATGAGAGCTCGGGCGAAAGGGAATTACCCGCAGATACAATTAGAGATGACTGTGATATGGAACCCGGTAATTTTCTATTATATTGAGAATAATTTGTCATCCAATTTTATATATGTGGAATAAAAATTATTGTAGCATTTATTTATTTCGCTTTACTATAATGTGTTTAAGTATATTATGCCAAGTCTATTTAATCTTGGAGATATTATATTTTATGTTTGTTAAGGTCATTTCATAACAGTGATACTTTAACTAACCGTATTGCTTTGAAATAAAGGCATTGCTCTTATGTTGTATCTCTATTAACCTTAGCCATACTTCTTTATAGTTATTATATTTCATTTCTTTGCCTTTAGCTCTGTTTTTCTAACTGTTTCTCGTATTTCGTTAGCATGTCATAAATTTTAACTATTCAAAATAATAAAGTTATTATACATTATAACTTATCAAATTTTTAATAAACTTGACAATGTTACAGTTAAAAGGTGCAATTCGAGTAATCAATCCAAAGGAGCCTAAATATATGCATCAAGAAGCTAAGTTCAAGAGACAACTTTTCATAAGGAATGTTATGAGATTAAAAGCAATTATCATGTGGTTCATAGAGGTTGGAAAAATTTTACAGTAAGTGTTTTATTTTTCCAAATAAAATAATATCAATCAGTATTTATGCTATCTTTGATTAGCTCTTCTGTTGGGTACACAGTATTTTGATAATAAATCACTAAAAGTCGTATATTTTATGGTTAATCATTTCTTACTGTCGTTACTTCTTATTTCATACAAATAAAAAATCATAGAAACACTAATAAAATCTTTCAGAGACTGTTTTGAATGGGAATCAAGGGTGCAATCGTTTCTTGGTCTCCTTGTGTGGCTGGTTTTTTGCTATTATTACCAAATGTGGATGTTACCTTTTCTTATTCTCATCTTTTTTGGAAGGAATTGGCTTATATATAGACTTACTGGTAAGTTCTATTTAATATTTATACTTATTTTTCATATTCTCACGTACACCAATAATTTGTTCAAATAAAACATATCATACACACAAACATAATATATTATGTACCTGTTGAAGTGGTAGATACTTCTTCATATTCTTAACCTCTAATATAAAGTGCGAGATATGTATAAGAAATTAGATACCTACATTTATTTCAATTCATGACATTTTTGATTGTAGTTTATCTCGCTATTATGATAATTTCTTTATTCGGGTATACGTTTGATTTTGTTTCTTTTTAATTTTAGTTCACTTAAAGACCTTTTCTCGCCACTACTATAATGGTACTTGGACAATTTTTACATTGTTCCGACGTAAGTTAAAGTGATAGTGTTTTGTGACATTTCAATGTGTATGTATGTTTCGTTGGCGTAATACTAATGAAATTCTGCTTTGTATATAGCAATCTTAACAATCTTATTAATTTAAACGTATCATATGGATGATGAGTGACCTTTTTCCTTCGTCTATCAGGCAGATTATCAAAAAATATTGAACCGGTTTTTTGGAGACATATAATCTATTGAAGATTTATATTGATATGAAATGTCGCATAACGTCACGTCTTGGTATAGTTTGTACTTATACGTGAAGTCACCAAACTTTGAAGCTCTTTATTTTTGTAATTTATTGGTTGGTTAACATAAGAAAAAATAAGTGTCCATTATTTTTGAATAATCCTAACGGACTTACTAGCATTTCCTTTACTTCCCCGTCATCATCCCTATTATGCGATTAAGAAATATCAATATCATTTACTATTATTGAAATGGGATAAATATTGTTGTAAGTTTAATAATAGCTTGAATTTTACATTGTTTGTTCAAGATTTAAAATTGCTGTGATATAAATCTCGTGTTTTTAATCTTTTTATGTTATTAAATATTGATATTATTATTTCAAAAATCGTTGTAGTAACTACTTTTTTTTTAACAAAATTGTATACTGCAGGTGGCAATCCTTTACTAATGCCGGTTGATGATGATGATTTGTTGGCAGAAGAAGACGATGATGAAGAAGCAGATAAGGTATGATGTTTGAAATAATCCTCCTTTTGTTCTGGAAGCCTTTTATTTGATATAATTCACTCGTTAATTATATCAGTTACTGGGTAAATAGAATATCAATTGTGCAAAACATAGTAGTATTGTATTTATACTGCATGACACAGCAAATAAAAATGTGAGTGGACGGTGTGTTAATAGCGACATGGTTTTATGTAAATGTTGCTACTTCTGTAAATACTGATGAGTTTTTTGCTCCCATTCATCTCATCAGCTAAAAGATATTCTGAATAGGAAAAAATATTGGACAATTTAAAAGAGCTTTTAATAAATCAATTTGAATAAAGCATAATCTCGTCATTCATCACAGCTAGACACAATATTCTATGAAATACTTTTGTAAAATAATTAGTACTTAAAATATTGGTACTTCGATGATAATAGAAATTCGATTATTTTCTTTACAGGAGGAAAAAAAGTCACTAAAAGAAAGATTACAAGCAATACAAGAGGTAACACAAACGGTCCAAAATGCTATAGGTTACGTAGCATCGTTGGGAGAAGCTGTTAAAAAGTAAATTCTCAAAAATATATTCTATAATACCTATAGCTTATATAACCATGTTTGATTTAAAAATAACTTTTTATTGTTGTTTCAGTTTAATGAACTTTACTGTGCCATATCTAAGTTACTTAGCAATAATCATGTTATTTGGAGCAATGTTCGTGTTATATTTGATACCATTGAGATACCTTCTAATGGCGTGGGGTGAGTCCGGAAACGATGTTATATTGTTATTAAGAATATTTTTATGTCTAAAATGAAAGACGTTATAATTTTAATTTCTTAAATTTTAGGTATCAATAAATTTACTAGGAAAATTTTACGTCCACATACAATACCTAACAACGAAGTATTAGACCTTTTATCAAGAGTACCTGATGACGAAACATTGGTAAGTTGGTGTTATCTGACTTTTGGTTAAGTTTTACTAATTTATGGTCTCAACCTCCCAAAAATAAATTTTCAACAGCTAAAATGAGACAATACTTTTGATATTTATTGTTATTCAGATAAGGTCCTGGCAAGCAGTACATGGTATTACCAGCTTTCAATATATAAATTACCCCTTTAACAAGTTACTTTTTTGCAGTTCAGTTTATTTATTATGTCCTTTTATTATTTGCATAGTTGGACTGTAGAGAAATAAAACCACAACCTCACAATGAGCACCGGCGAGATGCAAGAAAGAAACACAAAGCTGCATAACACAACTCCACTACGGTCCGCCAAAGGATCAAACAATACTTCTCCAAGTTATTTTATAACAGGGATTATAGTGAACTTTAAGCATTATTATAATATTGTAAAAAAATCCTTTTTATGATTATTGCAGTGGGTTATAAGCAATAAGGAAGAATAAGTTATGATGTGAATTTTCACAATAATATTTAAATAGCACTCCAAAAACAGATAAATCCATCCCTAAATCTAAAATTAAATAAGGATCCAGAAGTGAGTACCTGATGAAAAACCATTTTGTTAGAATTCCCTAATGTTTTAACAAAATTATTCGAGTTCGTCCATGTCTCGTTTGTTACTTTTACGTGACGGAATAGTTATTACAAGAATGCAAAAAATTATGGTGACATAATATCTGATATTTACTTGCAGCAGTTTTGTTTAAGATACATGATATTGTTACATGAAAGTCCCAATGTGAAAACCTGTTAGATTGTTATAATAAAATTTAGATAGGATTTATATGAACATTTTGTAAAAATGTTACAATTTTGTTATATTTAAATACCGATTTAGAATAGTTTACCAAATATTCATAGAAGTATATAGTAAGTTATCTTTGACAGCTCCAAGTCTACATCTACTCCTTCACTCATAAAATATATAAACTTAACAATATTAATAATAATGCAATAGTATAAGACTGAGACCAATCTCATTGATAGTTACGATAGATAGAAAATATTTATAGATTCAAAGTTTTATATTAATATGTATAGTTTGTTGTTGTCTTTATTCATTCCAAAAGTAACTTTCTTCTAGGTAAACTAAGTCCGATATGTCTTTTATCTAGTATTATAATATAGTATTTCACCTTGACATTCTAACTTAAAAAAGGCATATAACGTATTCTTTCTTCAATGACATCATACTTTATCAAATATATTAACAAAAATAAGCGTTTTCATCTATAGTATACGACAGGCTTATTCAACTTTACGTAATCAATAATGTTCCTTATTATTTTGAATTTGTTTCAGAATTGATAATCTTCTACTATAAACATAAACTAAATGCATTTCATTATTTCTAGTCAATTTCTTCTTAAAACGGGACGTTCCTTAATAGTAGATAATAAAAATAATAAAATGACATTTTACTCACGCACAGCTTAGGTAATCACTATCTTCATTATAGCACAATGCACATAACGATAAAATCATAAATTCTAAATCATGTTATTGTAAATAACCGCCGCATAAATTGTGATAAATTAGTATTTATAGATTGTATTTTAGATAAAATTAGTCTTAAGACTTAGTTTTTAAAATTATTTTGCTATAACAACATTCAAATATTGTCAATCGAAACTTTTTATCTGAGTAGCTTAAAAAATTAGGAATGATACAACACCAAAGATTTTTCTCATAAAATTACCTAAATCTCATGTGTAATTCCTCATATTGTTGTAATGTCTGCTTTTGTTACTGTCTGTAAATGCAATTCGATTGCTACACAGAATAAAATAATGAAATCCTATTATATTATTTAAAATTCAAAGAATCTTTATGGTCTTCCCTGCAATCTTCTGTGTTTTTTTTTTTATTTTGGTTTCTAGATAGTTGGCAGATAATTTACTGCAGCATCTGTTTATGTACTCCCTAGTTGAAAAATGCTTGTTAAATGTTAAATTAGCACCAAGATACATTTATTTCCAAATATTTTGTATTCTATTAATAAGTCAATTATTCTCCTCAGCTTTGTATTCAGTGCCAGCTTTCGGTAGGTACTTCACATTTTTATCACATAGAATCATGATGAGTTATTAAAATATCATTTTATGCATTCCGATCAACAACAATACATGTTAATCATGTATGATCCATTTGAAATTTCAATAATTTTCACATAGGTAGTTCTTTATAATTGTCTCATCAAAAGGGAAACTAAAATAGGTATGTATTTATTCAAATTCATTGATATGGGAAAATAAGCTATGATGCAAACTGTCAAAATAAATATTAAATGCACTTCAAAGACAAATATCTCGAAATCGTATATTGTAATCGTTTTTTAGAATATTGGTATCAATATTCTCTGAATTTATTTTAACTACTGAAAAGTTAGTTTTTTATGACTAAAATGATGATTCAACATCTAAGAATTTAATTCTATTATCGCACTTATTCTTTCTGTAAATGTTCAGACAGGCACATTATTACCACAAATTGAAAAGTTTTTGAATCTTAAATGAAAAGCAATAAAAACCTCTTAGTCAACCAGATAATTTCGAAAGTGTTGGATAACTTGACTTATTATGTGACTGCCTGTACTAAAAGAACGTTAATATTACTCATATCTTGACAATCTACTGGTTAAATACATTTACGATTCGCACTGCATAATAATTATTACCTACCTGTTTTATTTGCCCATTTGTTTAAACTAGTTATAAGAAGGCAGACATTTAAGAATATAATATTTTTTCTATCTCTTCCAATCAAACGCATTGTTTTAGATCATAAGTTTTATGAATTATATATTGAAGCACAAAAAAGTGATGAAAATGTTAATGCTTTCATATTTTAAAATATTAAAAAGAGATGTGATTTTAGATGTCTTTCTATTATTTTGTTAGGTACAGAGATAAAGCATTTGTAGCCTTATCTCTACTCTATATGGTTTTATTTGTTGGCAGAAATCTAAATTTAATTTGTTAACAGTTAAACCGTTAACATCAGTAGAAAAAAGCACCAAAAGGTAAACAGGTTAACCAAAAGTCACTACCGTCAAATAAGCAATACCTTGACTGCATGCGTCTTCAATCATTGTTTCTACAGTGCAAAATCATGACTCTTGCGCGGGGTAGGAGGAAAGCGTAGTTCTCTCAGACATCCCCTTCCCCCCCCCCCCCCTTGCCCTGAAAAGGGCCGTTCAGCTTCCACCTCCAACCAGTGACTAAGGCCGAGGGGTGTGAAACTCCCCATTCCTGGATTTGAGAAGGGTCGTTTCCCCTCCTAACTCTACGGAGGCGCACGCTGAATCGATATCGTCGCAGCAGATATCCATGGCTGATCGGAAGTAAGCTTAAGCACCCAGCTCGCTCCACGACCCAGGGGCAAAGGTCTTTTACTAGAGTTCAGTTCGTGTTGTGTCCCTATTTTCTACAGAAATCGGAAAAGAGCTAAGTAACGAAAAGAAAACCAACAAGGCCTGGTCTAAATCCTAAACAGATGAACTAAGATATTGATAGTTCCAACATAGCTGGATCAATATCGTCATTTGGACGAAAATTGGTAACAGCATAAGATGCCATTCGACAATGTACTAACTACGAGTAGTTTGATAAGGTGCTCATAAATATCTCTACCTATTTTCGCAAAAATATTCACTAGTCGCTTTATAAATATGCCTCTTTTTAATTCCGCTCAATTACAAGAGCAAAATTTTAATTATATTTTATTTCTAATTTTATAGTCAGGCAACGTAGGTCCGTATATAAATACATACTCTCCAGTATGGCGGAGGGGCGGGCAACGGCCCACATAGTGATCTACTTACACAAGCAGTGCTTTTGCTTAAAAACTCTACTTTGGCCCGCAACTCACCAATGGTGTTAATCGAGTTCACCAATTTGCTTACAACCTCGGTCAGGCTCGCTTTCAGTTAGATGATATCCTTCAGCAGCCTGGTGTAGTCGACGTGGTCAAACGTGATAGGGGGCAGCTTGTGCAGCTCCTTCTTCTTCAGCGTTTTCAGGGTCGGTCTTCGGATGGTTTCCCAGAGACTCTTCTGTACCATCCCTCCGCATGATGGCATCTGTTAAGCCTTGCTGAAGGATCGGAAGAGCAGCGCTTTACCACTGCAAACCTCGTCTTCCTTAAAGCTTGATTTGCAAATCTGCAAGATGCTGACCTCGTCCATTGTATCGATTGCATTTTGTATAAATGCTAACAGTTAGTTAGCTACGAGTTGTTGGGAACTTATAGCGGTACACTCGCACACCAGTACACTCGCAATTAGTAACTTCTAAAGGAATTGGTGCCCGGGAAAACAAACGTCGTTAACATGATTCACGCGTATCAACTATTTTGGTGTCACAAGTTATAGGGTTAGTTTTCTTCAGTTCAGTACCCTTAGCACGAATCATGTCAAATATGTCCTGTCTTTAGTTCTCGTTACGCCCGTTTTGGCGCTGCTATTCAAGATTCCATACAAAATTTGTCAATGACATTTCGCACTAGCAAACTATACGAATTCGATATTGATTCGTGCTAAGGGTCATAAGGGAGAAATACAGTTCACATTGCCCTATGTTTAGGTAAATAAGGGAAAAGGAAATACTGCGATGGCAACATTTAATTGTAATCCATAGAGAATTTAACCTACTTTTTTAACCATTTATTTCTTGTCCCTGGTTTATCTACGGCTTAAGTATTCTTTGAATCTGTGGTATAAACTGTGATGAAGATAAAGAATTTCGTTTAATAAGCGCAAATCACTTTTAGAATCCTGATATCATTTAAATATTTTTATAAATTTTTCACAATAGCTCTAAATCTTACTCTCGAGGCCGTGTATAAAAAAAGTAGTCGGTTGGGGTCGGCCATTTTTGTCCATAGTGATCTGTCCTTGTCAGTGTCAAATCATATCTGTCGTTGTCATTAGAACGAGAGTCGTGGCCGCAGGTGATCTGCCAACCTACCTATTACACCGAATTTCAAAAAAATAGTACACATTCGTAACAATGGGTTCCAAATTACAAGAGTACAAAGAAACCTTAGAGCGTAGCCTTGTCGATAAAAGCAAGCCGTGGACCAAATATTTCGACAAAGCTGAGCAGAAAACCGGCGTCAACAGAGTCTACCTTTTCGTGGGTGAGCAACTTGATTTTCCACGTTTATTTATATCTTTAGCCAGTCAGCTTGACGTTTGTTCTTTTTCAGGTTTGGTAGCGTTCACTGGTTTATATTTAGTGTTCGGTTTTGGATCTGAATTGGTATGCAATTGTATTGGGTTTGTGTACCCCGCGTACATGTCTATGAAGGCTTTGGAATCGCCCCAAAAGGATGACGACACTAAATGGTTGACTTACTGGGTGGTGTACGCATGCTTCTCAATCGTGGAGTACTTTTCCGACTTCATCGTTGGATGGTTCCCACTTTACTGGTTAATAAAGGTAAGCACCACATTAACCTAACCTCCATATGGTAGAAAACAGTTTTCGTCTCATACAAAAAAAGGCACATAGAAAAAAGGTTAATTCCCAACTCATTAACTATTGAAAATCCGAACTCACTATCAAAGTTGTATGTTCTAACATAATAATAGTTCACATCCATATGTTTAAATATTAAAGCATTGAGGAAAATGTGATCCCCAATACTCCATATCAAGATAATTTTAATGTTTTGTATTGTGCTTTATCTATATATAGCAACAATGCAACATAGCGGTTAAATGTATATGTCAAAATATCAATGTGTTAATTAAAAAACAAGTACTTACTTTAAATTTTCCTATATAAGTTGATTTTGATGGGTCCATTCTCTAAAATATAAAAGGTAGACACCCTTTCTTCTTTACAAAGCACGGCTAATTGCCAGTCAATACCCGCTCACCTATTTGTTAACTTTTTTTTATATGTACATTGTGTAACTAATGAGCTAATTGCATATCCATGATGCTTTTAAGGGGTAGTATCTTAGTGGCATTATAATGCCATTTAAATACTTTATTATAATAAACTACACTACACTACACTTTATTATAATAAAGCAGTTATGGATTAGTAAACAGCACGGTGATTATCACTTCCGTCTGTCATTATCCTTTAGTGAATAGGCATGCTGCTGTTAAGTGTAAGGTGACCAATAATAATTTGTGAAGTTAAATAGACCTCATTTATTCTCATATTTGTTTGTTGTTTTCATGCAGCCCAATTATTTAATAAAATATTTCTTCAATGGGTTTAACAATGTTTATTCAATTTAACATTATTCTTGATATTTACACTGCTTACAGGTTCAGTGGTCGCAAGACCTTACTTGTTCCAAAAATGAGGCACTAATTGGTATCCCACTGGGATCCCAGAAATGCAAAATTCTTGTTCACATTTTATTTAATATGTTAATGAGTTTAGCCATGGACGTAGCTAGGGGAGAACAAGAGTCGGCAATGTCCATGCTTGAAACCTCTGTGCCCTCCCTTAAATTTTAGTATTGAAAAATATCTTAACAAATTTCACAATCCCTAGCTACCCCCAATGAGTTTAGCTACTGACTACAAATCTATAATCAAGTAACATTTTCACTATTGATAGGATCATAAAAAGCAAACACTGCATATTGAATACATTTTGAATATTTAACTTTATATTTTGCCTGTTATCACAACCTGAACAAAAACAATAAAAATGAAATGTGTGTAACATACTTTATTCATTTTGAATCTCATTTGAAATCAAACTAAATACTGTTTAGATATGTTACAATCTGTACTTATATATCTAAACTTTGACCATGTTTATTTGTTTCATTAGTCATAGCTCTTAAGTAGTGGAGTTTGTTAAAGGAATAGGTATGTAAGTATTGTTGAATTGTCATAGTCATAAGTAATGAATAATAATAATAATAATGTTGAATTCAACAACATTTGATCATATGAAAGGATGAAAAATCTCTTAGGTATCTAGAAATCTTATGCAATTATTTTTTATCTGACATTAATTCATGGTTGTGCAGTAATAGAATGATTTGTGGATGCAAACTACCATCATACTGCACTAAATAAACACAATGTTATACAAGTCGTGATTTTATTGCCGTTTTTTGCTCGAAATTATAATATAGTGTCTAATGTTGTATGGATAATGGTACTGCACCCATCATGCGCGAGTCCAACTCACACATGGCCGGTTTTTGTTTATTTGTCTTATCTTAATTAGTGGAAACGAGAAGAAGGTAAATTGTAAATAAAGACACTACACTCTTTTCAGTATTGAAAATAATTGTAACCCTTTGTCTCAATGACATAATCATAGTATTGTGTTACACAATATTATTTAATAACAACTTATTTGGGTTATTTTTTTGTCATTTACAACTACTTCGTAGTGATTTTTATAGGAGTAATATGATTTTAATTGTAATTATTTTATTACTAACGGACGCCCGCGACTTCATTCCGGGTAACTTTATTTTTTTGAGAATCCCACCGGGGTCCGCTCAGATCCGGCCAGCTATCGGGCGATAGCTGTCACCTCTGTCTTTTTGACCATTTGACCAGCTACCTAGAAGATCACTCTCTAATCCACGATCGTCAGTATGGATTTAGGTCAAATCGATCAACGGGTCACCTAGCGTACGTGACACACACATGGAGTGAAGCTATAAACAAGCGGGAATAGTCTTTGGCTATCAGCCTTAACATCGCCAAGGCTTTTGGCTGGGTCTGGTACAAAAGCCTTCTCACCAATCTTCCTGCATACGGTCTGTATGCTGTTCTGTGTCTAGGTGGCTAATTTCCTAAATGAGCGTAGAATTCGCGTTCTTACGGACGGATGTTGTTCGCAGTTCATGTCAGTGAATGCCGATGTTCCTCAGGGCTCCGTCCTATCTCCACATTCCTGCTGCATATGAATGATTTGTCTAAATGATAGTAGAGTGCATGCGGGATACTTCGGACACGAAGCGGCTGGACAGGTAGAAACCAAGAAGAAACGGGAGAATCTTTTCACTGAACTCAATCAGGCTTTGGACCACATTTCTGAATGGGGAACTTGGTTGAGTTTCAATACTAAGAAAACCCAAGCTTGCGCTTACACGGCAAAAACATCGCCGTTCCTTCCTCTTCCCTCTCTTTAAGACACACTGGCGCTACAGAGCAACATCACCATGCTCGGTATAGACGACCTGAAGCCAAAAGACTACATCCGTGAAACCGTATTTAAAAACAGTTTAACGAAAACTCGGGAATCCTGAACATGGTGCCGCTTTTTTTCACGCCTGATCAACTGTGCTTGGTGTATGTACAACGAAAGTACGTCAAGGCCCTACTTAGAATATTGCTCGCATCTCTGGGATGGCTCTTAAGTACTTACTCGATGCCTTGGATAGGTTGCAGCGGCGCGCTTAACCCTTTTTGTTTTTTGAATTATAAAGTCTATGAACACAATATCGCGGGCAAAAGCTGGTTAAATGCAAAGTAGCAACGAAACTGGTTGGCATCAAATAGAAACATAATCATCTAATTAAGAAGATTATGTTAATATTTGTTGATAAGGACATTCCGTTCAAAACCCTCACGTAAGCCGTGAATTAATTGGAATTCACTAGAAAGGTTTTTTCATTTCTTGTTATGCCAATGTGCCTTAGGTAATGATTACGAAATAACCATTACTGTGTTAGTAGAAGTGTTATCATCACCGGTATTACTAGGTCATCGCAATTAGACCTTAACACGCACACAAAAGGCTTGTTTTGCTTCTATCGTTTTGACTATTGTCTGTTGTATATTTTTGTACTATAAGTGAGTATTACTCATCTAGCAACTTCCATTTAGAGGTGAATTCATACGTAGGCAGGTGGGAAGGTTGCAAAAAAACTAGTTTATGGAGAGTTTTTATGTCTTATTATTACAACACAGAATATTTATGAGGCATTCTTATTATTTTTCGATAAACAGTTGAACAAATTATAGATCGCTATATTTTGATTTTTTCCAAAAAATTTAGAAACTAGTAGTAAGATCAAAATCGGCCTGGTTAATGCAAGCACTCACATAGGTACCTACACATCTCCGTGTCCTGTTTTTGCCCAGTCGGGCGAGCGGGTGAGACATCCTAATGGATACTCTACAGTCGGCTGCAAGGTTATGTCAGGGTCGTACTGACTAAAAAACACACCTAGGGGCTGCCTCTGGCCGGAAAGGCCTCTAAAGCTACATCGGAAGCGATCGTCCTCTAAGGGGGGAGCGACGCAGAATTTCGGAATAGGGCTTAAATAGTTTCTGGGTTAGCGTTTGGGACTTATTTATTTTAAATTGGTCCATTTAATAAACAAACATCAAAATATTTTCATAACCAATATACCTTCCTTATATGGCAGAAATTACCTAGAGCAACATACTGCGAGTCATAGGTATATTATAGCAATTCAAAACTTATCTAAACCATATATCGCTTTGTCTTAAGCAATAAATAAGTACCTGATATAACGACTTAAATGATTTGGTAATAGAAACCTGAGAAGGACAATTCTATATCTTGTAATTTATGCGGTTGTCAATAATAATTTTGAAAATGTTACTTATTTATTTCAGTGCATCTTTGTGATATGGTGCTACCTGCCTACTGAGTACAACGGATCACTGGTGATCTATTACCGCATCATCCGTCCGTACTACCAGAAACACCACGAGCGCATCGACAACATTGCCAACTCTGGTAAGAATGAGTGACCATGCTCCCTAAATTTACCCATACCAAGTACCTACCAATTAGCGTTGCCAGACGACCCGAATTGGTGGGACGTCTCGATTTTTAAATCAAAATTTAATGTCCCGTGCGGGAAAGGTTCAATTCCGCTTTTCGGGAATAACTCGACCGTGCGTGCAGCGTATTGAGAAAGCGCGGGCGGATGGCACAGCCAGTGTGGACTGGCCGCTTGCCCGGCGCCAAATAAAGATAAATATTCAATAACTTTTCATTATATACGATTTTTTTTACTATGTCCCGCTTTCGAGGAAAGAATCCCGCTTTTTTCACTGAAATAGTTCCTTAATCTCAACTCGTCGAAAAATCTGACATTGCTGCTACCAATTCCCAAGTTTTGACCTTTTAGTCTACGGCGTAGAAGATCATGCAGCCGTCTGTCAATCCCATCAGTCCTGAATGATAAAAAACAGCTGTGGCAACTAAAAAGGCATCACTCATCAGTAACTCTTTAACGGGGTGACTGATGAGTGAGGTCTTTTAAAGGATAGGTTATCCATCTGTCATAGCCTTGACTACTAGCAAACTGACAGCAAAGCCCACCGCATAGTAGCCGCCTAGCTCAACCTGGCCAGGAGGCCATTTGCCTAACGGGATTGCATTGGGAAACGCTATCGCTTACGATTTCATTTTGTTGTTTCTAGCCACCTGAGGTTTTCAAATGCCTCGCGCTCTTTTTTTTCTAA